TGCAGATTTTCATCTTCCTCTGCTTGTGGGGATGAGTCTGAGTTCTGAAAAGTAAGATTTAAAAGTCTTCCCACAAAATCATTGTATGTCATCAGTTCTAGATGTTCTTGACATCCATGCAAGTGTTTGTTAAATGAGCAGCCATTCTGGCTTTTTCTGGCAAAGTATTTCATTACGTGCCTTTTTAGTCAATATTTTATTTTATTAAATATTGATTTATTAAGTGTGAATGTGTCAATTTTTCAAGTGATTAATTTCTTTTTAATTTAAAAAACATGAAATATATTTCCTATTTTTTTTGTTTTGATGGACTGGGTTTTCTTTTTTTTTCCATATTCCCCCATTTGTCTGATTTTAAAATACCTTATTGTTTTAATTTTTTTTTTCCTAACCACTTAACAGTTTTTATGCTTTTTGGGTTTATTTTTAAACTTTTTACACATAGCTTTTAACTGCGTACTCCCATATCTGCGATTTTGAAGTCTCCCATTAGGCATTTATAGGTTTCAAATTCAAAACAAAAAATGTGATGATACTAGTTGGATTATTATTTTATTGGCTGATTTGCTTATATCAAAAAAGGGGAAGAACATAGGATGAGAAACCAGGATATTAATATTTGGGACATAAAATCTGATACTGTTGTATGGCCTTCATTTCACTGGTCAGAGACAGAGTGATTTTTTAAATAAGATGAAAACCTTGTGAGAATAGAAAATAAGAAATATTTTTTAAATATTTTATAAAATATTTTAAAGAATATTTTAAACAAGTATTTCAAAGTTTATTCTACCAAGTGATCATTATTGCCTTATTTAAAGTGGTGTACTTTTCATAACTCTTCAATGTTTATATTTTTATTGTTCTTACATAAATACTTAACTGCTAACATTGTTTTAAATTCTCAAGATTTATTATAGGTTTTTTTTCACTAGAATTTTTTACTACAACCATTAAGTTATAATGAATTTCAAATAATCAATCTTCTTCTCTCCTTCTCCAAAGACCATCCTTTTGTTTTAGGAAATCTCTTGTTCAAATATGATGTAATTTTCAGTATCTCTTCAAGTTAAAATATGTCATTTGCTGTGGAAATTTTACACTGGTATGATCTAGTTCAGAATCAGACCTGTGACCTTGTCCTGCACCACTTTTTATCTGAAGATGTAGGAGTGTCCATCAGGAACCATCTTAAACTGAGCTGGACTCTCAGCTTGGCTCTTGGTCAGAATGAGGTGCCCTCAATTCCTTACAGAATTATGGTATCAGTTAGGCTGGAAAAGACCTTTAAGATCATTGAGTCCTGCTATGTTATGCATGATGATCAAACCCTCTTTTTTAACCCCTTTTCCAGTTGCCCAGTTTTAAACCTTATTTTAATTTATTTTCTATTCAAATACTTAAAACAGACAGCACAGTATAATAGAAAATGATAGAATCAGTTAGGTTGGAAAACACCTCTGAGGTCATTGAGTCCAGCTGTTAAGCTGGCACTGCCAACTCCACCACTAAACTGTTGGTGGTTTATATTTTATTTTATCTTTCTACAGAGCAGTCTGGAAAGCTGAACAATTTATGCTTTGGGTGTGTTGTGAACAGCAGTAAAAATTTCCCCAGTGGTGCCAAAACTATACAAAAAAATGTACAGAGGGTTTCTCTCTGTCTAACTTCAGGTAGCTGTTTTGTGAGATGGCACTGCCACAAAGCCACCACACAGAGCTGGGGTTTTCCAAGTGTGAGTTCAGAACATCTAGGTCAGAACCAGCCTTAGTCCCTTGTCTGTAGAAGAAGCATGAATTTAATTAGTTTCAGCATCTCTTGGCACCTTCTAACATCCTGAAGCACTGCATGTTGCTGTTAAAATCCTCCTTCTGATGAAGACTACTATGATAATTCTTTCTTTTTTCCCCTCTCCTACACTGACCTCTTCTAGTGAACTTACCTACATGGGAGCCTGCAGCATGTCATGTCACTAAACTTCTTTTGAGTTTAGAGAGAAAGCTGTTTCCTTTAATGATAAAGAAAAATGCAGTTGCTCAGTAATAAGGTAACAGCTGTTTTGGTGAAGTCAGTTCAGTGGTGTAAATATTTCTAGGTGTTTGTAGTAGTAATGGAAAACCTTCCAATTCTGTACTTCAGAGCAGAGTAGTCCAGACCTGGAATATATTGATTTCCAGTAACAAACAAAATCTTCATTAGTTCTTTTATTAGACAACTGGCCTGATACTATGCTCTAACAATATGGCTTCATAAATAGAATACTATGAAAAATCTATTGAGAACATTTTAATCAGTTTTGGCATATATAATTCATTAATATGATTATGATTCCATAGTAATAGCTAGGCTGTGATCCACTGGAGGCCTGAGAATTTATTGCTTTATAGGAAACTGGAAGAATGATCAATGTAGTGTTAAGAAAATGAAAAATATCTTCTTTTTTAAATCCTATAGTGCAGCATTATAGTTTAAGATGGCTGTTGTATGCTGGGCACACTAAAGTGGTATCAAAAACCATGTTCAGACTGGCAGTCACATAAATATTTCTGCATTTGAGAGGTCAGGCTGTAAAAATTTCTATTTCCACACTACTGGCATGCTCAGATGCAAGTCATGTTTCTCAGTAAAGGATATCCTCTGTGTACTCACCATAAGTCATGTCTAATTTTTAGTCAGGCAAGAACATAGTTAATAAAATACTAGTTTCTAAATCAAAGGCATTCTTAACATCTGTAGAATTAAAAATATACTAGTGTCTGCCTGGTTTGCAATTTCTAATCCAGTTGGCCATATCTTTTAGCACAAGATAATGAGAGGAGCTTGCTATTGCAATATTCCTTCAAAGTGAAGAGAATTCAATTAAGCTAAAAGTATAGGGGCTTTTTCAAACTTCTTTCACTCAGTCTATGCAATAGCTAGGTAGGTGCATGCAGGGGAATGGTGAAAACTGTAAATATTGAATGTACAAATTGCTTTGATTTTTTTCTTTCATCTTTACTGATGTCAAATTGAATGCTTCCTTCTGTGGAACAGCGCATTGCATGAAAGTGTTATTACTTAAGCAAGCTTGAAAAAATGCAGGTGGCCTTGTACTGCAAGACCAGAACTCATTATTTGCTGTGAAACATGTAAGAAAAAGAGATAAAACATCATCAAAAAATATCTATCTTGTTTGATGAAGATTAAGGAGGAAATAGTGTGTACTATTTCATTATTGGCATCAGTCTAGGAAATCATGTTTAGTGTTAATTAAATCTTCTGTAATATCTTTCATTTGAAAATAGAAGTGTATTAGAAATACTCATTCCTTAGATCTCACGAATATTATTCCCATTTTCTAACTGAAGGCATTGGTTAGGAGAGCAGCTAGACAGAGAACCAGCAATGCCAACTTCTAGTTCTGTATTTAGCAGACAGAACATGGTCCTGAACTTCAAATTAATCACAAATGTGTAAGATGGGGCAGGTGTAACTCTGCAGCTCCAGGCAGCTCCTGAGTTAACTGGCAATGCCGCTGAGCTGATGGGCTGTGATGTTCAGGATGATGTGGGTGAGAAACAGAAATGTCCTTTAGCCATGATGGAAAGCTAAGGTAAAGGAGCTGGGCTGCATTCATTTGGTGAACGGGAGCATGTAGAGTTGTATCAAGTCTATTTTGCTGTCCAGAGAGAAAATTTCAGTTAATTTACATTGCTTCCACAGGTTTTTGGACATGCATAAGATGGCACTTAATTCTGGTCCAAACCTGCTCCTCCTGTTTTACTTTTAGCATGGAGGTGAGGTGATCAGTTGTTACAATGCTGAGAGGTTTTGAAAATCTTATTCTTTCATTCCTAAATCCTGAAAAATTTATGATGAAGTTTTTATGTATATTGTAAGTTCTTCTAAGAAAGGACTTTTCCTTACCAAATATTCAGAATATATGATGCTTTAATCCTGACTGAAGGCATGAGACTACTCTGGAACAAACAATAATCAGTCTATTGTGTTTTTATTGGACTGGTTTAATAAATGCAATTATTTTCACTTATTCAATTGATTGACTGTTTATTCATCTTTAATATTCACTGTTTTGATTTGTACCTTTTGCATGCCATTTCAATGGTTATCAGGATACTCTTGTTTTAATTAATTTACTTGAATTAGAAATTACAACTTTTCATGTAACTTTGTTCTCTTGCTATAGATGATCCTGGTCTTTTCATCTATTTCTTTTTTTGTGTCCTGTGTCCTAATTTCCTATTAAAAATATGTTAATCTGTTTCATTCTGCTTCTGACTGTGTTGTAAGTGACTAATAATTTAAGATCTATTATTAGAGCTCACCACACTGTTAGTCAATGTCACACTGTAATTTAAGGCAGTGTGAAACTATCTTAAGAAGCTGTGAAAAGTTATAAGTCATAACCATATTGATGTTTCAGCCATTTGTAAAGAATTATTTACTTGAATAACTGCTATTATTAAGAAAAGATATTAAGAAAAGTCTACAAGTGACATTTAATTTAAATCATGGAATCACAGCATGGTTTGGGTTGGAAGGGACCATAAAGACCACCTTGTTCAAGCCCCATGCAACCTGGCTTTGAGCAATTCCAGGGATGGTGCATCCACAACTTCTCTGAGCAACCAGTTCTAGTGCCTCACCACCATCATGAGGAAGAACTTCTTCTTTATATCCAATTCAAAAAACCAAACTATATTAACAAAACGTAGTCTGTCTCCATCATTTCTTGTCTTTTTCTTCAAATTAGGCTGGTTTTAAGTGATGCCTTGTTATGTCATCAAATCCCTGAATGACATTTATAAGGTGGCAAGCACAATTTGGGTTTACAACTATGGCCTTCATGTTTCCAGAATATAGGGAGAGGCAATTCTTAAATCCATTAATGATTTTTAAATTTTCTTTGGATGTTTATTTTCACTTTAACTTATCCATGAATCGAAAGCACTGTTAAAAATTTCTTGCATATATTATCTGATGTCTCTGAAATTTTTCAGGTTAATTGCCCAGATCCACGACGAATTGTTGTTTGAGGTAGAAGATTCTCAAATCCAGGAATTCTCAGGTAAATAAAATCTCTTCTACTCTTTTCCTCTTAGAGAATAAAGAACTAATGTAGTGAGAAGAAGCACATTGGTTCTCACAATTAAGAAAATGTATACTAAGCAGATTTTTCTGAATGTTTTCCACCACTGGCTCATATGTAAAATGTGATATACTCATTTGGAATTCATTAGCATGATTATTTGTATTTAGTTTTTTAATCAAGATTTCATCATCCACTGTGTGAATCCTGTAAAAGTAAATACTATTTCCTCCAAGGTTTTAGAGGGAAATAAACCAGTTTGAAGTACTTTAGATTAGGGGCTGTTACATAAAGAATTATTCCATTCTTCATGTAAGATTATGCCACACTGTAATTTCTAAGTTAGTTTACTGCTTTTTTGGAATAAGAAACCTTTATGATGGCACTCTCAAGATTAAGGTTAGTAAAAGTTTGTGCCTATGTTTCTATCCTCTCATCTGGCTTACTTCCAGACATTATTCCCTAAGCCAGGGTTTGTGTCAGCATCTGGTACAAATTTAGCAAGTGAGGGCACGTAGCAGACTGTTGGGTCTCTTCTCCAGTAAATTGTGAATTTATTCCTGTAGGCACCAAGTGTTTATTCACAAATGTTGACCTAGTTTGAAGCTCAACAAAATGTTTGGCTAAACCCATTAGCCAAAATATCAAAAATTATTTAAATTAACCAATACAAGAAATATCTTCCATTATAGCACAAGCATTTAATAAAAAATTAATTTCACCTTCCCGTGCTGCATTCATTTGAACAGTGCAATTTCCTATATTAGTCTCATTTCATCACTGATCCCTCTTGTGAATATTAGTTCAGAATGAGAGCATTAAAACTCTATCTAATCTAAACAAATTACCTGGGAAGTATTTCAGCTCAATATATTCAGGGCATTGTAATGAATTAAGTTAATATATTAACATTTGACCTCTAAATACAGGAATTAAAATCAGATTTAAAGTTAAAAAAATATATACAATTTATAGGAGATTGCAATATCTGTTCAGAAAATGTCTAAAAGTGACATAGTTTCAGAGTTAGGAAGTGTAGTGCATTGAAAGACATCTGTAGGACAGCATAGAAGGATTTTTATTATCTTATTTTGCATCAATTTGCATAAAGTATAGAGCTAATATTATACCCAAAATATAAAAATGATTCATGGTTGATTATACATGTAGAAAATCATAGATTCTGCCTCCATTGGGTCAAATTTAGATCTTCATTACTAGTCTGAATTTGTAGCAAAAATCAGAAAAATCAATACTTTTCAAGTATAACAGAAAAAAACTCTAGCTATCATATGAATAATAGTAATACATTATCCCAATATGGAAATATGGTGACTGGAGGCTTTTTTCTGAAAATGCAGAAAGAGTGCAATTCAAATACTCAAGTTTAGACTGTGTGGTAATTAGTTTGCTGATCTCCAGGTCTAGCTGCAGGGTGCAGAACAAACATACCTGTAAATTCCTTCTTGTGCCTCAAAGTTATAATCCTATAATTGAAGTTGCTAAGATGACCTTTACAAAATGGACTTGGGCAGTCTTGAGGTATGAGATACCTTGGAAATTGTCATTGCACTTAGCATAGGCTGCCAAACTTGAGTGTTCAAGATGGAAGTTTGTTTCATTCTGCTGATTGAAGATTGACTTTTCAATTTGTCTCTACTTTGCCCTAAGAGCCAAAGAAAAAAAAAAGGAAATTCTTCATTACAGGAACTTTCAGATATACTCCTGTCAGAACAGAAGAATGAAAACTTGTCTTATTCTTTACACAAAAGAGATATTGAGATATTGATTTCTTTTCTTTTTATTCATCACTGGGAGAGCCTTACTTGGAGTGCATCTGGTTCTGAGCTCCCCAGACTGAAGAATGTGCAACAAAGGGTGACAAAGATGATGAAGGGTCTGGGGAAAGAAGACAGGCTGAGACCTGGGACTGTTCAGCCTGGAGAGCAGAAGGCTCAGAGGATCCTGCTAATGTATATATCCTAAGGGAGTGGGCATAGAGGAAGTGGTGGTGCCCAGTGACAGCACCAGAGGCAACGGGCACAAACTAAAACACAAAAGGTTCCCTCTGTAGATGAGGGAACACTGTTTTACTCTCAGGGTGACTGAGCACTGGCACAAGTTGCCCTGAGATGTTGTGGAGTGTCCATCCTTGCAGATGTAAAAAAGCTATCTGTACAAGGTCCTGGGTAACCAGCTCGAGGTGGTCCCTCTGAGCAGCAAGGCTGGACCAGGTAACCTCCAAAGGCTCCTTTCAACCTCTCTGACTGTGGTTTGCAAGTAGTTCTGCTACTGGTAGAAGAACTAATCCAAGATGTCTTAAAAGGGTCCAAAGCTGGCAATTCTTCAGTCATTAATGAGGATTTTGTTTGATGTGAATAGCAGAGAAAGTGTGGATCTGCAGTGGCATCTCACTTGCAGCCAGCAGCAGTGCTGAAGCACATCTCCCTATTGTCCCAGTCCTTGGTGGGAATGGTTTCAGTTCACATCACAGAGCAGCCTGAGAACAGTTGACCTAGATTCCTTTCAGATGAAACTAAATAGGAACACTCTTTTTCTCCTCATATTTTCCAATTATTTCAGGAGCTGCTAAGTAAGGTAACAGATTAGGTATCTGAGAGTTAAACCAAAAAGGAGGCAGTAGGATGTGTGCTCTTAATTCACTTAAGTGCTTTGAAAGTCCAAATAGAGTTTTTATCTCTTTACCTAAAGTTCTCTCACCCTTTTTTAAAAATCTTTACTCTTTTTGTTTTTATTTGCCAATATTCTTTAGCTGTCAGCTTTGTCTTTACATATCCAATGAGGTTTTGTCCATTCAGAAACTTTAAATTACAGAATCTGCTGACTTGCAGTTTCCAGCCTGCAGTTTAATGATCCAGAGAGAAATCTCAGTTGTACAGTCACAAAGCTCAGTAAAGGGAAGGACGTGGACTTGAAGCTAAAGAGCAGTGCTGGAGGGTTTAAATGGATTACACTTCAGTGCTGTGTTATTCTCCTGCATTTAATGTGATCCAAGAAGTACTGGCCTACTATTCAGCATGTTTGCATTCTGATTCCAGTCATGCTTCTGATCTACTTTCTCAGGAAAGCATCAACAAATATATGTCTCCTTTTTCTTGCTTGTAGCATGAACATGAAACTTAAAATATTTTTAAGATTTATAAATTAAGAACATAAAAGGTAAATAGTATTATTTCATAAGATCATAGTGCAGGAGATAAGCCTTCTCAGCAGCATTTCCCTGATGGAAGAGTCTCTTTTGAATTGCTTCACAACATTAAAATGTTCTTTTGCTTCTTAGACTCTTGAATGGCAGCTGAAAATTGCCCCAAGGAATTGTAGTATTGGCACTTTCTTTAGTCTTGCATAGGACTTCATATGCTCCAATAAGAATTTCCAGGACTTTACAATATACAGAAATCCCATTTATAGTGCATCTAATAATGCACAAATGATTTGGAATCTTTTGAATCTAATAAACAAGAGGACAAGCAAACAAGCAAAGAAGTGTTCTTTTTTTTCTGATCTACTTCTGCACAAAGTACTGCATGAGGTGGGTCATCTCAAGGTCTCATCTGTACTTTGGAAGAGTACCTTCTTCAAAAGGAATCCATTGCCCACAATTTTATAGTGCACATATGGCTCACTCTGAATGGACAAGGCAGAACATCATTTATTTATAATAAGGTTTTGACTGCCCAAGCTTTGACATACTTTGAAATACAATGAAGCACATAGTACTCTGAATGTTGCAATTTTCATCAATGATATGGAATATTGTTTCCTTCAATTCTCTGTTTAGGGCAAGAACATGACAGCAAAAGAGCTTTTTAAAATCCTAATTTCCTATTAGAGGGTGCTTGGGAAGTTCAAATCAAAACATTTGGCAGAAATTTGTTTTGCTTGGGCAGAAGACTCTCAGCTTTACCATCAATAATCTGCCTGGTTTCTGGCCAGCTTGCCTGTCTGGCTTCCTCACATCTTGAGCTCTCCAGCAGCCCAGGAAGCAGAAAGGCAGATGATACTATGGGAATGCCAAAAACTGGATTCTTGGATCTGAGAAGGCTCAGTGCCTCTGAGTCCTGAAGTCTGTGTAATCAGGTAGTCAGTCTGTCCCCAATTCAGACTCTGGAAGAGTATTTAGGAATGGCAGAACTCAATTTTTCATTTTGTGAGACTGTTTCTGACACTGATGCTCCATGCTGTGTTTGAACTGCCTCTTTGGCTTTGGATTATGCTGAATGCATTACAGCTAAAAGGGGGAACACGCTTTGTGGGGAAGAAAAGTAAATTTTTAAATTTTTTTTTTTATGGTCAAGGGATACCTGTAGGTACAACTGTAGAATCTGGCTTCTAATGTGTGTTCCATAAATAGCTGGTGAGTTTGAAAGGTGAACTTTGCCAGTGGCAATTACTGTGGACCCTTCTATGCCTTTCTCTCTGCTTGATTGCATCCATTAGTGATAATTAAATGAAAGACACTTGGTACTTGAAATAACATCTTTTTATGGAAATACATGTATTCCAGTGCTTTGTGTTCAATATCACAGTGCATTAGAGTAATTTTAAAGGGTGTTTTTTTAGAATTCATTTATAATTATACAGTATTGATAGAAATAAAGAATTTCTGCCTCTGTTTGTATTTTTGATACATGCACAATGTAGAGCTTGAAACAATTTTTCTAATACTTTACTAGGTATAAAATATTTCAGCTGAAGTCCTTACCTTAAATTTAAGAACAGTGAAATGACCAGTCAAAAAAAAAAAAAAAAAAAACCAAAACAAAAATTACCCCAAATAACAAAACACAACCAAAAAGAAAAACCAAACCAACAATCAATATAAATTAAACCTATTTATGTTGATATTAAGATCACTTGCTACCCAAAGAATGGTATCTTAGACTTTTTTTAACATCTGCCAGTGCACATTTTTGGCTCACATACAGATTACATGAAATTTCACTTTATTCTGCTGCAATTTTATGCTTACTTGATACTGAGACAACTGCATTAAAATGAGCACATGTTCAAAAGGGAACTGCAGGAACAGAAGAACAAAAGAATGAGCTGGTCATCACAAGTTAGTGACATTTTCTGTCCTCTGAGGTGCCGTTTTCTGGCTTGGAAAACACTGGTGCGTAAACTAAAGATGCCTCTAGATAGCTTTCAATTTGCAAAAATTCCTGTTCCATAGATCATATGTCTGGCCAGCTTTGACATGTTTCTAGAGTCATAATTTCATAGGTGAGTGCACTTGAAAAATGTCTTCAGTTTGATAGGGACAAATAAGCTTTTGTTCCACAGCAAGCATGCGTGTCTTATCTTTGTTCCTATTCACAGCACTTTCAATAAGCATATTTATTCTGGTCAGTATCAAGAAAATCTAATGTATGGTAAAACATGTGTTAAAATTTCAGTTCCTCTATAATCTTTTAACTTTGCTGTCACCATTTTTTTATGCACAATATTTTAGCATATATACTTAGCTTACAAAGCATTTTAAGATGAGTATAATCAACAGCTTTCCTAATTGCTGACTATGGGTTTTGAGAGATAACTTGCAAAGATTGGGAGAACAGCATTTTACAGATGCCTTTGCAGTACATGGCTGGCTGTAAAGGAGCGCTTTAATAATTTATGTGCCCTAGATATACTAGATTCTTGACTGAACAGAAATAATCATTATCCCCAAAGTCTCCAGTCTAAATCTTAGAAAAGAAACAAAAATTAGGATTTGTAGAGACAGATTTATTTAGACACTGTGGTTCTGTTTTTTAGTGACTACACTCTAAAATGTATACAAGATAAAGATATAGTTGTACATGTTTGATTATTTATTGTGAGCCTTGAGAAAGAGGGAGATTTTCAAGGAGATTTGAGAAAACAGTGGAAGAATCAGATATTATGTACATAGGACTAAAGGGAACCTTTCCTGTGATTACATACCCCCATGCCATATGGTCTCTTTTATAAATTATCATCTTCATATGAAAAATTACTCCCACTAAGGACTATTCCAGAATTTTGTCTCTCCAAAACCTAGAACTTTAAATTTCCAGCCTAAATGTATTCAGCCACTGTACCTATTTATTTTTGTGCAAAGACTGTAATGTATTTAAATTCTTCCTTCTTCGCTGTTTACAGTCTTAGCAGACCACTGAACAGGAATGGCAATCCAGCTGCTTTTTCTTGATATTTGCAAGGGAGTGATTTCAAAAGGCTGAAATGCAGACACAACAACTTCAGATTGCTTGAAATGAATGGCTTTACTAAACTCTGGGTAGAGAAAAGTCAGTGTGACATGAGAAAGAGAACGGGGAGCTGAACAGACAGAAAAAGAGGAAAGAAGAAAATGAAGCAAAACCATGGAGAGGTTTTTAATGGTTGTCAAAGTGAATGAAGAACCATTGGGTTTGTTCACTGATGTGGCCATTTTAATCTGTGCATTTTAAAATTAAGAGTATTTAAGAATGCAGCAGAGCTCTGGTTGTGCCAGATGCCTTAGAGCAATAAGTGTGTGAACCAATAGAGAAAGCTGTTGCAGTTATTGCTGCCATCATGGATCCCCTTTTGGGGATAACAGCTAAATGGGACATAACTAGTCCAATTCAGAGGTCTAGAGAACCTGGGGGGAGCAGATCTAACTCAGTGCACAGGAGGCAGCAGCCTTTGTCATATCCCTCACTAATTTCAGCCCAGGAAGAGATGCTGCTGACTCATGCTCCATCTTTTACTGTCTGTTGGAACTCGTTTTGTCAAGAAGACCTATTCATCTCCTTGCCCAAAGGCTCTGCTGCTGTTTATTTATCTAAAAACACAAGAAATTATAAGCTGCTCAGAGTTGAGTGTCTGGTGGAACACACAGAGCTGAGTGATTCTGCGTGAGAAGTGCAGAATTCAGGTGTTATCCTCTCAAAAGTTTTGTGTAGTCATAACTTGGAAAAAATGTTTATCCAGGACTGACTGGCAACACACTGAGCCTTCTGAAGGCATCCCACCTGGCTAGGGTGCCCCAGCATCTGCTGTATTGCTGACCTCCTGGAGCTGACAGCTTGTTGAAATTCAGAGTGGGCTTCTCAAGACAGAGGCAGTCCAACACTCCTCTATTAATAGCCATGTTGACTTGGACTGGATTACAAATGAGTAATTATTTAGGCCAGCACTTCTCCTTTCACAATCTGTGGATTGCAGTGTTTGTTTCTGCTTTTGAAAACAATGTTGTTCTGCCCCACAGTGGACCACGAACTATCCCAAATCTGACATGAAGCAAGTGTACAGGTGTAGCTGTACGTAGATGTGTCAACAAATGTCTTGGCTTCCTCAGCTCTGGCACTTGATCTGCTGATACTTTGAGTTACTGCATAGTTTGGACTTCATGAAAAGCTTATGACAGCTCGTTAGCACAGAAATCTGAGTGAGCCAGCAAGGTCTGATCACTGTTCAAGCAGAAGCTGGTTATCCTCATCATTATTATCAGGCTAGCCTCAGTGTCAGTGACACGACATGAAACATTACAGACTGCTCTTCATTGCTGGCATCATTAGAAAGGTTTTGGCAGCAGCCAGAGCAACAACATCCACAGCTTCTTAGAGTTCTTGTCACTCCTTTGCCTCTAACCTCAGCTGCCAAAGAGCTGTGATGTGCAGTGAGGGATAACTTCAAAGGAAGCTGCTCAGTAATCGTGTGGGTTTGCTCTGGCAGCTCAAATCACAGCCCCTGCTCCTTCTCAGGCCTCTGAGACACAAGACCACATCCATTATTTATTCCCCCATCCTGTCAGAGCAGGGCAGGTTCTGGGGCCACCTGGTATTCCTGCTTCACTTTCACTAGCCAAAAATACCTTCCATTTTAGAAGCTGTTGATCCTCTCCTTGATTTTTATTAGAACAGCATGTGTTGAAGCAGCAATCTTTGTCAAGCAAAACACTAATTAGCAGGACCAGTGATGGTAAATCTGATCCCAGATGATTGTTTTGGAATAATTATAGATGCATTTGCACAGTAATACTGAGCATAGTGTTATGGCATGATGAGTTGTTAAGTTACATGAATTATACTGAAGCTAATTGTTTAGAGTCCTGATAGCTCCACTACCCCACAGAGATGATTTTTTAAAAAATTTGGCTCTGATATTTTTCCTTTGAAGATTAAAATATTTTTTAAAGTTCAGATTCTTGTGGACTTTTTTCCTAGCTTCTTTTTTGAAGTGAGTTTTATGGTTGCACAAGAAAGTTAGAAAATTAAAATATATAAAATGTCATCACTCAGATAGTTATGAGAAGTGAAGTTGAACACTGAGCACTCACACATGCTCTACATACCTTTATATGAAATGTAGTAGTGCTATCGTTCTTTATATATGGTCTAGATAAATTAAATAATTCTGCAAATTTTACCCAAAAATTCAATTTAAAAAAGGAAATTAAACTGTTCTCAAGAGATAAAATATCACTTTAAAATAATCTGAAAAAGTTGTAAATGACAATTTTTAATGTAGAAATGCAGGTATTATGTGACAGAATATAAAAAACTATTTTTAATATACATATATATAACAATTCTAACATGGAAAATAAAGCTGTAGTTTTTCAAATTTACCTTACAGCACTGGTAAAAAGAATAATGGAGTCCCTGCAGCAAACCACAGCCTTGGAAGTGCCACTGAAGGTAGGGACAGTTTTGAATTTCCATTTCTTTCTCAGGCATGCTTAGCTTCATACATCATCATCATCATATTAGGAATCTAGAAACAACTATTTTGCTTTTTACTTCAATTGTTTGATTTTCATATTTGCAGTAATTGCTTTTTCAAATTACTATAAAAGTTCCAAAGGAAAATAACTGAAAGAAAGGATACTCCCTTTTGGGAAGTGAGATTGTTGTAGCAATGTACATGGTAATTTAAAAATCTATTTTATTCATTGCCATGGAACTTCTGTTGGGTGTGGTAGAGTGAGAAATATGTCCCTTTAATATGTGCCTGCCTTTCTCGATGTGCCAGGCATTCATTACTGCTGAAAAAATATTGCAGAAGATCTTTCTCCAGTAATTTTCACTTAGAAAATGTGTCTATTTAACATTTCTGGGTGGATGCCTAGCACACAAAGCAAACAAAATCACTGGTCATTGCTAAAGGTAGAGAACATAATCTGCCAGACCAGCATCTCTAGAAAGTGAGTAGGTAACTACACAGCTTTCTATGTATTGGACCAAATGGTAATTACATGATAAAATAATTATGTTTTTCTCTCTACAAAACTGGTACCTGTCACTGTAGCCTACTACTCAGCTTTTGTTGCTTGGTAAAAGTCTAAAGCTCCTGGGAATCCCTAAACTTCGGTGAGCCAAAGCCCAAGGGTTTCCAGTGTGCTGACAAATGGAGTACTTGGTGTTGCCAGGTCACTCACTCAGCAGTAATAGCCAACAAGATTCAGGGACAGAAACAGCTTTATTCTAATTAGTTCAGAGATGGTTGCAACATACAGATTTGCACTCATGGAAACAGGTGAAAAAGAAAACTACTTGATAATTTTTCTTGTATTTCCTCCTGCAGATCTTCTGTATCTATTGCAGAATTCCAGCCACTCTGTGAGGCTTGCAGTTACAAGACCCTTTATGGGTGCTTAGGGAGCCCATCCTTCCCACAAAAATTGAGAAAGGATAATGAAGGGTATCCAGGATCTAAATTACTCTTTCTGGTTCCCATGCTTATTTCCCCCTTCACTGTTCACTTAACCTTTGTAAGATTTTACATTCCTGTTAACTAAATGTTAAAAGTCCAATGAGACTTTTTGGCTACACTGGGATTATAAATGTCTTACACTGATACTCCCAAGCTTTGCAAAATGCATTTCTGTAGGTTGCTTACATTGTACACCTGTGTTTGCCTTTCTTCTTTTGTTACAAATTCCTTGGGAAAAAAAAAAAAAAGAAGCTAGAGTGTTTTTCAAGATATATTACATTTAAATATTTTTAATTACTGTATTAGATACCTGGCATTCATGCTTCTATAAGGTTCTTAAAAATAATCAAGTATGGTATTACTGGTGGCATATAAAGTGAATAACAATCATAGTCCTTTCTGGATAGGAAAAGTTTAAGGAGACTTTTTGGTGCCTTTTTCAGAGGTAAAATTTTCATACTTTCTCTGAGGAAGTCACGGTCATGAAATAAATATAAGCACTGTAATAGGTTTCTAGGAAAGACAAATGTTTACATGGTTACTGAGAGTGTTCCTGGTTGCAGGGGTAGAGCATCATTTTAATGTAACATTTTTCAGACTAACCATTAAGTGGCAGAAGATTTCAATGTCCTATGGACAAATGGGACATACCTTGTTATTCACCGCTGTCTGAGGTGTTTTTTACTGTCACACACTGGCAAATCCTTCTCAATGCATTAAACAGATGGATTCAAGATGTCATTCCCATGAGAACGGTAATTCTCCTTTAAACACCAACTATGCTTTAATAGGTGAAAAGAAACACATTCTTAGACAATAAATAGTTATCTGGGGCTTTCAAAGATTAGGACTTTTGGAGATACACATTTCATAACCCTTGTTTAGTCTCCTTTTCCTAAGCAAATTACTGTGGCAGTCCTGACATACTTCTGCTCGTGCATGTTAGACTACATCCATCTTGGAGATGCTTCAGCTTCCTCTGAAGCCTCAAAAAGAGATCAATGACAGAGGCTAGATAGAAAACATAAAGTTTGATCTCAGAGAAGAAATTGAGAGTGATCGTTAAAAAAAGTCTGTTTTTTTGTTCATGTTGTTTACCCTTCTGTACAGTAGGAAAATGTCTTTCAGGATTAGAGATGTTGAAGATGAAAAGATTTTTGTGAAATGCTCCTGTTCCCCTTCAGCAGACTTACTTCAACTAAATATGTATTATGTGCTCCCTTATATATGAATATTATTTCTTAATACAGAGACAAAATGTCACTAAAGTAGAGCACACATATAGTCTTAATGGGGAGAGATCTCTTTTTCTTCTTTGAGGTAAAGGATGTTTTATCTTTGAAGTAGCTTTTTTTTCCCAAAATATAGTCCATGCTAATGAGGCAGCTTTCATGTCAACAAATCTACTGTGTACAACAGCACCAGGCACTGCAAAACAAACTGAAATTAAACCAAAGCAACAATAAAAATACCCCAGAACTTGAAAAGTGGGGGGTAAAAAACCCTAGTATCTTTATGCATTGCTGACAAAGTTGCTGATGATAAACATCAAAATCATAATTTGTAGCTCTTTTAAAAGCATGAGATGAATTTTGCTTTAGTGTATTCATTGCAATTCAGTAGCATGTATTTGCAATTTGAAAACTAAAGGTTAGTTTAAATTGTTAAGGTACTTTTATCAGAATTGTAGCAATAATTGAGTATTAATACAAATGAAGAGCATTTCACACTGGATAGACATGGAATCTGGAGCAGTATTACATCCAAAGGGAAAAGCAAAAAGAGTAATCGTGCTATATGTGATGTGTTTATTTGTTTAAATTTTTATTTTTTTCCCTGACAGGTTCCCTTGAAAGTGATTCTCACCACTGGGAAATCATGGGGGTGTATGACAGAATTGCAGGAGATGTAAAGCAGTCATTGGGGATGTTATTCAGTACCCAAACACCTCATTGGCCTGTGCTGATTCCTGGCTGAATCACTAGGCAACAGCGCTGCTGGATCTTTCATAAGCACCTAATACTCTGCATGTGAATTTTTTTACTTCATTTTGTCTGTAGCCCTAGGCAACAGCAGTGAGATAAAACTGGTTTTTACCAGTTCATTGTGTTTCCTTTAGCCAAGGTATCCAGCAGGGAGCTGCTTTTGTTCACTGCTAAATTACTACATGTAAGAAATGAAACAAGACAGTATTAACCCTTTGGGAGCATCACAAATATATTTGAGTTACACAGATGTTTAGACTTTAATGTTAAATATTTTGTGAAGTGCTTGTGTAGAAATACTTATAAACTGGCAGTATTTGGACTGTGTCAGATGCTTGACTGTTGTGTTCAGCTTATTTTGTATTTTGTGAGTAGAATGTACTGCTTGGTGTTCATCACATATTAACTGTCCCATTCCTCAGACTTAGAAAAAGAGTTAATGAACTTAATTTTGTCTAGAATTTTGGAGCAAAACAGATAAACAAAACAGAAGCTTAAAGGTATTAAAAATAAGGAGATTGTTGTCCATTCAATTAATTTCAAACTGAGTTTGCACTATAGCCTTAGCATACTTTAGACAAAGTATGACAGTTTTGCTAATTTATTATTTTTATTACTGATATAATGACAAATATTGTTTAGATAAATTTTAGGATTCAGCCTTATTCCTTTTTAGGATTCAGGCTTTTACTTCAATGTTTATTGATTTTTTATTAATAATTTGGTTTTCTGTAGAGTTTGTTCTTCAAATGGGATTTGTTTCATAACATTACTGTTTTACAAATTCTGTCTCTGTGCTTGTGGTATATAAAATTGTCCTTGAAGTCTACTAATTATTCAGAAGTTAAAGTCAAGCACAAAACTTTTAAGAGTTGTTCAGTATGTTTCAGCATTAGACTTCAAATTATCACAGTAATACAATTTAAATTCTAGAACTGTATGATTGTAAAGACTTTGCAGCATTTTTAATTTGTATAATTAATTAATTTTACTTTGCACTTAGAGCCATTAAACTATTAAACATTGTTTTCTTATGTTGCTTATTAATCATACATAACCTGCCAGCTGATGTGAGTCAATAGTTTCTAAAAATTGATTCTTATAAAACTGGCATTGATCATGTAAGCAAAGTCAGAACCTGCTGCACATTAACTGGGGCCAGATTTTGGCAGGGGGACCCAGCCTGCATGGCTGTGACACCGTGCCAGGTGCTGGGAGCAGGGGCCCTGATCCCACCTCTCCAGCAGAGAGGAGGTTGCACAAGTTTCCTTCTGTTTTTTGCTATTTTCAAGCCCTCTGTGTTTGCAGTGGCATTGAATAAGTGTGAAATGTTCTGTCTCATCTTCTCATCTCTTTCACTCCTCTTGAAGATCTGCTGGTTTTGGGAGGCCTCTACTAACTAAGCCCTGTTTCTGTAACACTATATTGCTAACCTTCCTACCATATGGAGCAAATAATTTTTGGTAAATTTCCCAGCTGATCTTCACCTTGTGCATTTTTCTTAGAATGGATACTTTACAATTAGATGAATGGTGCATTTTTGTCAAACCCCTTCAACCTAACAAAACCCAAAAACACACTTAAGAACAAAAAGAACCTCAATCCACTTGTATGAATTGACATCTGTTCAAATCTGCAGCTATAGAACTGCAGAGGTCACCATACAAATTTTCAAACACAGCCCTTCACAAATGACTGTCAGTCACAGTTCCCCAGACATGTACACTTTGTGTAGGTTGTCATACAAGAGGCAAAGTTAATATTTTATTCTCCATGTATCACAGTTTCTTCAGGGTTTTGAATTCTCAAAGAATCAGCTAATAGAAGGAAGAAGACCAAGCAGTAAAGCACCAATTTATCACAAGTGTCCAAGGGCTCATTCTGTGTGCCCTGCTGTGAGGGCAAAAGGCAAACTGGCATAATTTTGGAGGATTGTTGTTTACCAGGTCTTGAGACTTGGTGAAGTCTGTGTCCCCCCAGCTTGCAGGATACATACTTGAGATATCAGTCCTCCAAATTCTCCAGTAAAGAAACCAAGAAGCTTTCTCCACTTAAGAAAGAGTAGTGTTTGCAATTCATTTCCCAATGAGGTCCTCTGGACAAGGCATCAGTTTTAGCTCACTTCTGTGCTGATCTATGTACAATCATAATAATCTCTGCAGTACAGTTTATCCAAACCTTAGTTGAGGCCTGAATCTAAAGAGCCATTATAGGAAACAAGGCCAGTCCTGACCACAGATTTCCTTCCAAATAAATATAGGTGAAAATATTCAGTATTTGATGACTGCCTTGAATTCCTTTGGGTGGCACAATAATTTTACACCACAGGACTCAAGACCCTTATTATAATAAATAACCACCTTGTCTGGTTATTTTGGTTCTGCATGAAAGGGACTTTAAAACATGGTTAGGCTTGAGCAGAACAATTATAAGAGACCTTTTACATCCTTAAAGCTCTCAATTTGGTCTCTAAAATGATTCTGTTTTCCTCACAACCTACAAAGAGGCACTGGGAGAGCAAGAAACAAAACCTTCTGTTTGAATTGCAGAACCCTGCAAAAGTACTGATCAATGAGCATGGGAAATCACAAAATAAATGAGCAGGGGGAAATAGCTGGTTGTACTTAGTTCCAGTTATCCTTTGTGAGCAGGAATTTCATTAATTGATTCTCTGAACACGGTAATAACACCCTTTAAAACTGATTTGTGTCTGGGCTTTATTTCAGGTCTGTCTTTGATGGCCTGAATCTTCCTTCAGTTTATCTGTAAATCTCTTTATTTGCCATGTGAAGTAGTGGGGAACGAGCACTATTTGAAAATACTTCAGCTCAGTGTCTGTGGGAAATGAAACAGCTCAGCTATTTACTGGTGTTTGCATGGGATGCCACGACCAACACTTCCCTGCTTGCAAATCTTGTCATGTCCACATACAACTGTGGGACAGCAGGACTGATCTTCAGTGCTGGTCCAGCTTGATAAAAACCATAGCTCAAACACTGACCTCAGATTTTATGTGAGCAAGACATCTTAAACACGAGGAGGGGAAAAAAGTGTGAGTTTTTGCAAAGTAAGAGTAGATTAAGACACTGAGTCTGCTAGATCACTCAGCACATAGTTTTATTCATGTTAATGATTAAGAAAAAGCCCTTAAAAATAATTTCATTTTTTGGGGGCCAGCAAAACCTATTCCTCTTACTTCATGTTTAATCTGATTTAAAAAGGAGGCCAAATAAGGTTGGTTCAAGGTTGTTGAACAAGGTTCAAGGTTGAAACATCTTTTCTTGTTTCACCACTAGAAGACCAGACTGGACAAATCCCTGAGTAGCCTCTTTTTGGCCTCATAGCTCACCCTACTTTGAGCACGAGGTTGGACTGGAGACCTCCTGAGGTCCCATCCCTGAGTTTTGGTCCTGTGTCGTTCCTCAGCTGGACAACAGCAATCGCCTGGGTGGAAGACAAACCAGAAATTCCTTTTAAACATTCTGCTGCACCACATTAAGGATATAGTGCCATTCCAGCAGAAGCCCCAGAAGTGTTTTGGAACTTGCCTTCCCACCTGTGTTGCCTCATTCTGTGCCAGCATTTACTATATTGCCTGGCTCACAGGCTCACTTTTGGCTGGCATACTTCCTTTTGGTATTAGCACATTGTCAGAAACATTCAGGGAGTGGAAAGGAATCGTTTCTTCTGCCATTCTGCAATGGTTGTAGTAGAGAGTTCTCTGTGTTTCAATCGTGCCTTTTCTTTGCCTTGCTGGGAAACATCCCCAGCCTAATAATCAACTCATCCCTTCTGGAGACAGCAGCCAGGCTGTTCTCACTGGTCAGCTGGTTCCCTTGAGATGTATTTGAAGGGCACTTCTACCACCTGTTTCTGCAAGCCCCTTTTTGATATCAAGCAAGTTGTTATTATCTGCTTTAAGTCCAGACAATTTTTTATGCTGTCTACTTATGTTTTGAATTGTGGAGGTCCAACTTCTAGTCAATATTTGTACCTTTTCTGTGCATTTTTCCATGTCACCTTCTCCATTCAAGGTTAAGTAGTTGGACAATTTTTAGCTCCTTTCTTCCTCAGCTTTTGCTTCTTACACTGACAATTTTCCACTGCTAACCTTTCCTCCCACTCCTCATCAATGCTGTTATTTCCAGTACAAATCTCACTACTAGTTGTCCACGAGTTAAAAAAATTGCTTATATTTTTATCTCTAATCTTTGTGCCCTCAGTTGATTCCTCTGCCATTTGGTATGACATTTATGCATTTATAGCATTTTAGAGACTGTTCTCTGGCTAACTATATTTTTACTGTTATTCATTTCATGATCAATTTTTCCAGGCTATCAGAAATTGACTGTAGAAGTCCTCTCTGGTTTCCCCTCCCCCTACATTTTTGGCAGCTTGATCTGCTGTGCACGCTGAATTTCTCACATCTAATTATTCAAAAGTGCCATGCATCAGATTACAATCCCATTTTCTAATTTGTGTGTTAAGTAGAGTACTGTAGTTACAGGCTCCTGAGAATCAACCTCCATCCTCCCCATGAGTGGCTCCTGCCTTTCTCTACAGAATTGACTGAGACAAAATTAAATATCTCCCTGGGTTACTTGGCCTGTCTGCACTGATCCATTAGTCCACATCCAGCTGAGTCCAGAAATTGGTTAATTGCTGATTTATCCTAAATGTTTTATTGGTATCTGGTTAGGTGAAGAAGACAAGTGTCCTCAGGACTTCTGCCAGATATTTTTTTTCCCTCTTTTTAACTCTAAGCTATGTCCCAGAGCCTGTTCAGGCTGATGATTGACTCCAAACTGCATGTGAAAGACACCTATAAGAACTTCATTTCTTCACAATGAACAAATTCTGCAGCAGTTTGAAAGCTGAGCCACCCTACTCTCCAGCCAGCAATCCCCATCTCTGTTTATCTTCCCATCCATTCACTCGAACTGTGATGGTAAATTAAATAAGCTACCCAGGGAGGCTTTCCTTTAAATATAATGAGCCTTTGTAACATATGAGCTGGGAGAAGTCAACATCTTCCCTTGAGGCCTCTGTGGGTCTCAGATGAGGATAAAAAAGTGTTGCAAATGTTGGGCTGTAGTCAAAATCTCTGGCTGCTTCTGATACTGTGGCTTGTGATACATTTGATTTTTCTTCCGGAGATTATTTGTTTTTAGTCCTTTCACTTCTCATACCTGACCTAAAATTTAACCTTCTCCTGGCAATTATTCATATCCTTTAACACCTTTCATTCCCTGGAAATCAGGTTAATAAAAACCTCTTTAATTCATCCCACACCTCCAGTCTGGGTAGACATTTATCAATGCACAACAAACCAAATATTTTTCTGTAAAGAATCATATATTTCTTTGGGAAGCTCTTGAATCCTGTTTATATTGCTTTTGTACAGTTGAAATCTTGCTTTAAATCCTTCTGGCCAACAGGTTTATAATTCAATAGGATTTTAACACAATGGAATATTAGTATAAGATGAATATAAAGAAGTGAGGATAAATGCAAAGCATCACACAAAAGCAAAACCAGTTAGCTACCCAAATGTAGGCAACATATTTCCTAAACTGTAGGGAACAGCTAGTTAGGTATCAATTTCAGGAAAGGACTGGGGACCTGAAGGTGTTTCTAGAAGGATCAGGAGTGGAATAACCAATCCCTCCACTCACTTCAGCACCAGCAAGGGCTCAGTTGAATGCCTTGCCCAATTTTCAGAAGTGCATTTCAGAAAATAGATGGAAGAACAGAAATCCATAGAAGACCAACAGGAGTGATCAGAGCTATAGACAATATCACCTGTGAGGAAAGGCTGCAAGAATTTAAGTCAATTAACCTTGAGAAGACTGAGAAGAAATCTAAAAGGATTCATCCAGTATGAGACAGGCTGTCATAAAGGTGGCACTGAACTGCTCCATAGGTCTCCTGGGGATAGAATGAGAAGAGAGGGGCTTAAATTTCAGCAGGGTGTAACTAGGGGAGATGTTAAGCAAGTGTTTAAAAAGAGTGCTAGCTATAATTGA